CCCGCGGCACCCGCGGCCCGGCGGGGCCCGGGCTGCTCCGCGCTGTGCACCGCCCGGGGCACGGCCAGCGCCAGCCCGGGCAGCGCCAGAGGCCGCGCCGCTGCACCCGGCAACTGGCTGCCGGCAAAGGGGACGCGCCGCAGCTCCGTGCCCGCTGAACACCTGTCAGCCCGCGGAGCCTGATTTATACCTGGCCTCTCCGCTGGGGATTTCCCCCTCGTTCCCATTTTCTCGTGGTCTCTAAATTTACCAATTTTTTTTTTTTTTTTTTTCTTTTCCCTCTCGCCTCCTCCCTCCCTTTTCGGAGCGTTGTGGAAGAGAGTGTTTTCTTCAGGGCATTAAGCTGAGAATACAGAGGAGGAGAGTCTCAGACCTTTACCTCACTGCCTGAATCTCCCTTCCATGTGAACATTCTGCAACGTTTCCTTGGTCCTGCCGCACCTCTCACCTGGCCAGCGCTGTCCGGACCATGTCCGCTAAGCTCCTGCCGGTTTTCTTCCTCCTCTCAGTGTTCCACGCCTGGTAAGTCTGCGTTCCCCTCGCCTTCTCTCCAGCCCCTCTCCTCTCTGCACTGGGGCTGGAGGGCTGAAATCCCATTTGCCGGAGTTTGCACAATATTGGGCACCCAGGAAGAACAATGGGCTCTCCCCACTTTCTTCCACGCAGTGCCGGGGCTCTGTTCCCAAACACCGGCTTATCCCGGTCCCATCCCGGGACCCGTCCGGCTCTGCGGTGCGCCCGGGACGGTGGCACCGCCGGTGTCCCTGCCCGGCCCCGCGTGAAGCCGCAGGTCGCCCGCGAGGGCCCTGTCCTGAGCCGGCCCGGCAGAAAGTTTAACCCCTCGGGGGGCTGCCGGCACCCGGTGGGACGGCGGCTGGAGCTGCCCGGGCTCCCCTCCCGGCCCCGGCTTCCCTCCACACCACCCCCGGGGGATCCGCGGGCGGGGTCGGCGTGAGGGGTGAGCCGCGGGATGCGTGATTCCCTGGTCCCCGCCTCAGCGCCGGGAAGGGTCTGCCCGGCAGGGTCTGGTATCCACTGTTAGAGGCCAGAGGGGCACAGCCGGCAGCGTCAGCCCAGACCTTTTAGACTTCGGTCCTTTTTGTTGTCCGGGGCTGTCGTACGCCCTCACAGAATAACCCGGGCAGAGGGGTCGGCTCAGCTCCCCCCTGTAAGAACCACCACCAGCCAGGCTACAGGCATGCTCAAAGGCCTTCCTCTGTCCTCCTTGGCAGCCTGCCCCACACCTGAGTGGTGTCTGTCTCCTGAATCCCCACAGGAACTAGAGAATGCTTCATGCCAGCTTCCACAGCAAGTGTGGGACACACCTATTGCAGGAAATCAACCCTTTCCTCTCTCTGACAACCTCTCAGAGTTTTCTAGACTTCCTCCCCTGCAGTTTATGCACAGTCTCTTCTCTGTCTCCTTATGGAATCAAAACTGATGAAGAGTTGGGGAAAGGATGTAGCCTTTCTTCCTTCCTGGTTTGAGACTGGCTTGTCATCACCCTGTAGTTACTTCTCTGGATAACAGGAATATGAGAGGAATTGGCAGGGTAACCTGTAGGGTTACAAAAGAAAAATGCAACCTCAAGTGCCTTGAAGGAGCACTATTGCCTTAACTATATGGAAGGGAAAAAAATAAATTCTTAAGGAAGAAAGCAAAAAAGCTTGAAAAATATGTGTCTAGTGTATTAGTCTGATCCATTGTGAAACCTCTCCCACCTCCAATCTTAATCTAGAAGATAGGTAGGGATTTAAATAGTTTGGAGGTACTTTCTAGGAAAAAAGCTGCGAGAGTGAGGGGATCTAAAAGGTCTGCCAGTGCTTCGTTAGACTCTTGTTAGTGACTTGTTTTAAAGCAGCATCTCCCTGAAATAGGAATCATGATACTACTTGAACTCAGTTCTCATTTCCAGGTGCAGTCTGAATGCCTCTGGTAAAGTTGTGGTGACTGCAGCAGAAAGACATATGATTTGTCCTTCTTTGCTATCTGCAATTCAGCACCACTGCAGAGCTTCAGCTCGGAAATATCAGCCATGTATGTTTGGAGATGATGCCTTCTTTGAGAATGCTTCTGTAGCAGCAGTATTAAAACACAAGGGCTTATCATGAATCTGATGGAAAAAAAAAATTCTCCCAAAATCCTCTTGAGTTTTTTTCAATGCTTATTGGGTGAATTGTAAAAACAAACAAACAAAGTCAAGTTTTAAAAAATACAGCTGAACAACAGAAAAGTAGTTGTTGTCTATTCAAAATTTTGTCCTAAGTTTTCTCTACTTTTACAACTCAGTTGTATGAGCTCTCTTCAGAAAATCCCCAGGGTTTAGGTTTAAAAATTATTTTTATACAGAAATTGTGCCTATAGCAATTGCAAATTGTGAGGTCATGTTAAGTGATTCATGGTTAATCTTTAGGGGCATATTGGCTGTAAAGCTGTTTCAGTTTAAAGTTTCATTATGTTCTCAAATAGTGGTCTTCGAACAATGTGAGGGTTGATGATACTCTGTGATTAAATTTTTATATTTGTATCAGTTTTTTTTTTAATGTTCACACAGTATTTATCAAGTCTTCTAGATATCTGAGGTATTTTAAAATACACTGGTGTCATTATGGAGAAAAGGAGGGGAGAGAAAGAAAGTTACACAGATGTGTGTTGCACATCCCATGAACAGACAAGGCTTGTTCTTCTCATTCTCCATTGCTTTGCACCTCACATAATTATTGACATTTATGTGAAAATGTTGCAGAATGATATCATATCCCCTGGGCAATTGCAGGTTGAAATAACACACGATTCCTTCCATAGGTTTCACCACTGAGGTTATCTTTTCTCCTGATAACTTCATCTCAGTCTGTCGTAGATTTTCTCCACTGAGAGGCATCAAACAGATTTGGTTTCTAAGATACCAAAAGATACATCTGATGAAGATATCATCTTCAAATCAACATTTTAAAGTCCATGCACAAAAAGCTGCACAAACGGAATTAGTCTTGTGTGAAAGTAGCTCTTGTGATTTCTGGCCAAACTGTAGTTTCACCACATTTGCATTAATATACCCTTAAAATAAACACAATCCACCTATAAAGGAATAAAGTTGCAACTCTTGGTGTAGTACTGTTTTTGAAAAAAGTTACTAAAGCTGCAAGGAAATTCAGATTAATTTACTCAATGTGTTTATGTGCTTGTGATAATCCATCTCAAATTCAAGGAATGAGCTCTTAATTCTAAGCCTTGTAATACATTAAACTCTGAAATTCATGCACTGAGAATATAATAATTTATTAATAGGATAAAATGATCAGGAAGCATTAACAGATCTGAATTTTTAATACTCTTATTAGCCTTTGTGCAAGAGATGAATCAGTTGTCTTGATGTATTAATAAAGTAATACTGCAGATGTTCGCTCTTTGTAAAAGTATATTGTAAACTAGTCAGAATAGGTTCATTAAAATACAGGATATAAAATACTACTCTGATAGCTGTATTATCTTCTAGAGTATAACTTTTTGAAGACACTTCCAGAGGACAATTTCTAAACAATTGTCAATCATGACCCGTCCACAGATACTCAGCAATTGTTAATGGGAAAATCCTGTTGCACCTGTTGCATCCTGCTGCATCCACTTTTAGTAATGTAAAATAATATCTATTTGTTTCATTTGTTTTGCAGTTCTAGAAAGGTTGAAGAGGATGAATATGAAGATGGAACAACTAACCAAAAATGGGTTTTAGCTCCAAAAACACAAGACACAGATGTGACTCTCATACTAAACAAGCTGTTGAGAGAGTATGACAAAAAGCTGCGGCCAGATATTGGAAGTAAGTACTTCTTTCTGCACAACTGAGGATAAACTTCTCTGGGTGCAGAGTAGATATGCTACTATATTCTAGAAGTGTGCGCAGATATCTGGGGAAGTGTAGATCAAGTTTTTTTGGCTGAAGTTGATTTCCAAGTAAGTATTTTAAAAATGCTAATTCTCACAAGGAAATCTGGTGGTAGCTTAGGGTCCTAAAATCTGGTTGGTTTGTACAGAGTTTGTGTAAGGATAGGGAAGGGCTACTTCTTAGTATTCAGCAGGTCTTTGGCAGAGGAAGGAACACACCTCTTTTGTCATCCAGTCCATACTGAAAATTTCACACTATGAGAGGCAAACAAAACCTCAGCATATTACAATAAAAAGTAGGACACAGCAAGAGAAGAATGTGCACCTGTTATCTTCAAAATATGACCCTGACAGTTACGTTCCTTAATGCAGAGAATAAGGCACTGGGATTTGCCTGTGTATAGGGCAACTCCAGAGATGATCTTCCACAAAACAACCGACATCTCCAAAAGAAATCTTATAGAATCAAAGTGTGTTGTGGTCAGCACTACTACATATAAGTATAAAATTTAAATAACAGCCTGTAGGTACCTGCATATAACCAACTTGGGCTATTTTGTTGTTTTAACTTGTATAATGAAGTTTCAAAGCAGTTGTGGGTTTTTTTGTTTGGGTTTTTGTTTTGTTTTGGTGGGGTATGTGGATAGATAGAATGTGGGATAACAGAGATAGTGGTGAAGGTAATCTCACCCCTAAGGAGTTACAGCTGCACTAATTAGCAAGAATTAGGAACAGATCTATGCTTAATAGGCCACAGCTGGATCCAATTAGGAGGGGTATTGTAGAAGAGTAGGTTGGCTGGTTGAGGAGGTTGGATGGAGTTTGTTGGCTGTGCTGAGAAGGAGGAGTCAGTGCTGTGAGGAGCTGCCCATGAGAAATCACCAAGAAGGTATGAAACCTTTGCAACAAGATGGCAACAGGGTGGGGGTTTTTTGTGTGTGTTTTTTGTGGTTTGTTTGTTGGGATTTTGTTGTTGTTTTTGTTTTTAGTGCTTGGCCTATTGCAGTTATGCCCTTTTTTCCCAGTTTACACCCCTAGAGCATAATGGCTGTAGTACAACTGCTGCTCAGTTTGTTCATAGCAAGTTTGTATGACAGAAATCAAGAGAGAAGTTGTCATTTATATTTACTGTACCTTTCATGTGCTTCAGAACAGACTGAGAATGGGGAATACTCAAAACAATCACCTAATATAGTTTGCTTTCCCTAAATATTTGCAGGGATTAGATGGAGACTTCCTACCACTGATTATAAGTGAAATTATGTTTGCTAATGGCACATGTATTGATATGCTTTCTAGGTGGTCCATTTGGATCAGTTTAGAGGGAAGTAAGAGCCATCTATATGTATTCATCATTAGAATTATTAGTGTCTCATTGCTACCCAATAATGCAGCAGTTGTAGGAAAAAAAGACTAACCTGTCATATTAAAAATGGGTCGGTTTAGTTCTTTTTTGTAGTTATTACTTTGATTTTTCCATAGTGTTTACGAAGATCATATTTGATAGGTGTGTCTGTTTTTATCACAAAGTGACATTATCTCTCTTTACTTAATTTATCATACTGGATTGAGCTGTTTTTAGTATCTGATGGAGAGGTGCTTTAACACACTTTCCCACCCATATCAACATCTGGAAGACAGTCTCAGATGATTTTTTAAATTTATTTTGTACACTGTGTCCTCAGATCACTGACTTAAGGCAGAGTGAATTACATTATGCTTCTTTGGGGCAAACTAATCACTCAACGTCCCCATATCAGTTGCCATAAAATCAGTAGAGTTCAGACATATCTTACAGCACTGGGAAGTCATTGTTGCCTAAATTATTCCTTTTGTGTCTCCACAACATTTTGTAAATCCTGTTTTAGAGAAAGGAGTCAAATTACACAGCTCTTCATATATCAAACGGAATTTATAGTCCTCAACTACATCTATTTCTATCAAGCATCTTGGTGCTAGGCCATTTTTTGTCTTTGATAGCAATCTGACTATTTCAGAACCTGAGTGTTGTTCAAATGCTACAGAAGTTAGTTCATCTCTGCTTCCTCCCCTAGTCCCTCTTTGCACCTCTCCTACCTTTGATGCAGATAAATAACATTGCCCTTTTGAAGTTGTGGAGCTGTTGCATTTGGCAAGGAGAACACAAGGGGAATGCTAGAGAATCAGGCATTACAGAACTTCCCTGAATTGCTGGCTGGTGCCTCACACACAAGCATGTCTTCCTTTCCATCTGGGAGCCAGTTATCCTCCTAACAAGGTGGTTGACATGTCCTGGCAACAGAATTTTCTTGCTGCTCTGAAGATCTCAGTATTAATACAAATACTTTAAAGCATAATACATACCAGCTAGACCACCAGGAAAAAATGGTAGTGTGCCAGGTAACATAGACCATACAATAAGAAAACACATGTTTTGGATGTTAGAGGAAGCATGGAGTGAACCAGCAGAAGAAGTGAGAAGTGATTCTCACATTCAAGCAGAAGTTCAGCCAATACCGGGGGTTAAATCCAGGACTCATGTACAGTCACCTGCTCACTACGGCCTTTACATTAGCATGGTACTGCTGGGAAGTAAACTGACCCACAGGACAGGGACACTCAGCATTTCATGTCACACTGCTCTTTATTCAGTTTTTCAATCCTTTATTGCAAATCCACTATTTCTAAAAGTGTGTACTTTTAGCTGTTGTCTGAGGAAATGATCTTTGTTCTGAATGCAGTCAGAAAGGCCTAGGAAATACTTTGCACTTTCTAAGGTTAGGATTGCCAGTTTCAGATCACTTGGGAAGACACTTCTGCAGCCAAAAACCATGGAGAGAAGGAGAAGATTGTGGCAAATAAAATATATCAAAGTGCATGCTGGCACAGGAAGTGACTTCTCTGTGATTTTCATTCTTCTCAGGGCAACTGATATTTTGGCTAGCTCAAAATAGAGTCCTACCTGGTACAGGCATATTCTGAGTGCCCTTTTGCCATATTATGGGCACTGACATCGTCAGCAATCACATCTCCTCCAGGCCACCAGTGCAGCCATCAGTGAGGGCACTGTGAACACTTAGCTACCCTCTTTCTTCCTCTGTCACCCAAGCACATGTAAACCACTGTAAAGGGTGAGTAGGTCACTGCTTGGATGCAAGGCTAGGACTTTTTTTTTCCACTCGTCCTGGCCTATACTTGGCCTCAGCTTCCATGTAAATGACTGTTGTTCAGGTCATAGGCACAATCTGCGCTTAGCACTTCAGGCATCACCTGCAAGGTTCCAAGCCAGGATTTTTAAAGTATGGATTGAACAAACTAAATATTAGGCAAAACAGCTAACCTGTGAAGGCTATTAGCAAAGTGATACCTTAACAGGACCTGTCTTGCTAAAAGGGGATTTCCTTTGATCTTTGGAAACAAAGCAGTGTTCTACCAGCAGGGGAATGCCTGACTGCATCCCCTGTGGCCACACTTGGCAGATTTCTTGTCTCCATGAATATCATGGCTTTTGAGGGCTTTTATTTTACTGGTGGTATCTGGAAAGTTTCTATTATACTGCAAAAAATACTTGCCTTTTTGAATTGGGAAAAATAAAAGAAAGAAAGCACTTTATACTGAACAGCTAATAACAGTGTACTCATTAGATCAAAAAGAAAAGTGTTTATGATGTAAAGCATCTTTCACCTATTTTTTTACCAGCTGCAATTATAGATCTGAGATACTCAGGTCTTTTGCATGGTATTAAAGGCACCAGTCCTAGAAAAAAACTAAGCCAATTCACAACTATGAAGGTCTTAACATCTCTTCCCCAGGCAGGTATTCTGTGTTTTGTTTCAAAGTGCTTTGAAGTGAAGACCTGTTTAATGGATATGCATCATTTTCTGTGTGCAGTAAGACTTGCTACCCTGCAAGTGTGCTTTTTTTCCTCCCATGTAACATTGATATAAATCCTGAAATTTAGTAGGACCAGGTTCTGGCCCTGAAATTTTACTTCCTCTTTATTAATAAAATGAAACAGAACTATTAGGCAAACCAACAGGGCACAGAACAGAATTATGATAATTACAGCTAAAAAAATCTCAGTTTCATTTAGATTCTAGTAATAAACCAGATTTTTGTAATTGATTTTTTTTTATTTGATTGACAGGTCTAAAATTTAAATTACAATAAAAACCCTCCTACACAAACAAACAAAAACAAAAGAAAACCCAATAATGGAGCAAAACACAGTTTCATTCAAAGTCAGTTTACTTTAATGAAATCTTCCCTCTCACCTTCCTTAGTGGATGGCTTAGACCACAACAAAGTTCTGGAAAAGAAAAGCTACCTTCAGAACCCTACATGGTTTCAAGCTTAACTTCATATGGAACATAATTTGCCTTAAACAGAAAATTTGTCACAAAGTGGAAAGTTTTCCAGTCACATTCCCTGAGTGAGCTTACATGTGGAAATTAATATGCTGTCTTTTTCTTTCATTGTGAAAGTTACCCATCAAAAAGTTAGTATGTGAGAGCTTTCTGAAATATGCCATTAGTAGTGGGAGGGAAAAAGTCTCACCCTAGATTAGGTTTTGAATGGGAGAGTAGTAAGGAAATTTGTATTGCATATTTGCATCTTCGGCTTCTCAGACATATCATTACACTAAGGAAGCCTCTGAATTGCATATGTTGAAGAAAGCTTCACCAGTCTGTGTTACCAATTTTGCTTTTAATCCGTCCTTCAGTCCGTCCTTCCTGTGGTTTCCTCTTGGATCCTCTAAAATTATTTGATCCTTGCAGCCTCTGGCAGTCATCTGTATTTATTTTGTATTTATAAGCCAAAATAAATTCACTTTGGAACATGAAATATCCTGACTCCACCAGTTCTAGCTCTCTTGAGAGTCATGCTGGTTTTCTTTACTCCTCCCGTTTGAATCAGCAAACACAGAAGACTAAGCTTTGTCTGATGTGCTTTACC